GCGGCGTCCAGCGCCGCCAGGTCGGCGGGCCCGGGCGCCAGCGGCCGTGCGGCCGAGGCGCGGAGGACCAGCAGGGCCTCCAGCAGCGCGACCGCGCCGCGGCGCACGGCCCCGCGCTCGTCGCCGGCGCGGCGGCGCGCGGTGCGCAGCAGCCAGCCCAGCCCCGCTGCGCCGGGGTCGGCCCCGCCCGCGCCCGCCCAGGACGCGGGCATGGTGAAGTGGCAGCTGGCGCGCGGTGCGGGGGTGGGACCGGGGCGCGGCGTGCGCCCCATGGTCGGCGCCCCCGCGCCCGTCAGCGGCGTGCCCCCCGGCTCGCCTGCGCCCGCGGGCGAGACGAAGCAGGGCGATGGCAGGGCGCCACCGGGCGTGCGGCCCACCACCTCGTCCTGGCGCTGCAGCCGCACCTCGTGCGCCAGCGACAGCGCGCGGAGGAAGAGGGACTGTGGTTTTGGGGGTGTGGCATGGGGTGGAAAGGAGGGCGGAGGAGGGCGTCAGAATGGGTGGTGAAGTGTGAGGGATACTGTTGCATCCAGGGTGTTGCAGGATGGATGTATCAGTTTCAGAACAAATTCCCAGTAGAAGCTCTAGCACACACCCCCGCTCCCAACTTCCCCCCCTCGGCGCACCTCCTCGCGGCTGCTGCCGCCGTTGAAGGAGCTGGCGGCCGACAGGGCGGCGGCCAGCGAGCCCAGCGCGCGGGCCCGCACCGGCGCCGCGCGGTCCCCGCAGCGCTGCGCCAGGATGGCGAGGCAGATGGCGCCGGGGGGTGCGGCCACGAGCGGGCCCGCGCCCGCGCCGGGCGTCGCGGCCGCGGCCGCCAGCGCGGCGGCCGAGGTCTGGAAGGGCTCCCCCGCCGCGGCGAGCAGGGCGGGGGCCAGGTCCACGGCCATCATGCGCTGGCTCACCTGCATTTGGGGGAAAGCGGGAGTGGGTCTGTTGGAGTGGGCGGCGCAGCCGGGGCAGGGCTTTCGTGTGAGAAGCGACCCACCGGCGTGCACACTGCAGCCGGGGATCTCCCCACCCCTTGGAAACATGGACAAGGGGCCCCCTTCCCCCACCCAAGTCGATAAAACAAAACACAAATGAACAAACATGCCTTGGGCGTGCGCGACAGGCGCGCGGTGAAGACGACAAAGGCCTCGCCCTCGGCGGGGCCCAGCAGGCCCAGCAGGCCCATGGCCAGCTCCACGGCAGCGGTGCGCGCGTCGGCGCGGTCTGCGGCGCGCAGCACCACCGCGCGGGCCAGGGCCGCCACCGACTCCGTCGCTGCGCTGGGGCTCTGCCTGCAGGTGGAAGGGGGGGAGCGGTGGGGGGAGATATCCCTTGGAAGGAGGGCGTGTGCAGGGCAGGGTGGGGGGGGAAAGACACCCCTTACTGACCCACAGAGAGGGGATGGCTGTCGACAGCCACGCCCCCCATCTGCCCGCCTTCCGCCACCTAGGCCCGTACCCCAGAGCGCTGCTGGCAAAGGCGATGAGCTGGTGGCAGACCTCGGCGCGGGCCACCTTCCCGCCGCCTCCCCCCATGGCCGCCAGGCCCGACGCCAGGTGCCGGAACACCATGGCGCACAGGTCCCTGGGGTTTCCGTGGATGGGCTGGAGCAAGGAGAGCAGGACGCCGTAGGCCGCCGACACCTCCTGGGGGTCCGAGGCCCCGCCCTTGCAGATCAACTGGCAGTGGGGATGGGGAATGGGGGGGCTGAGGAAGGGAGAGGCGGTGGCGAGCGGAATCCAAGGCGCAGACTCTCTTGAATGCAAAGCGGCTGGCTCAGTGGGTCAGGCCTACTGCAGTGTGGATATCCAAGACATGGCGAGTCGCACCACTCCCTACCACCAAAGCGCCAGCGTACGTCGACGCAGGTCGAGGCGGCGTCCTGGACGACATCTGGCTGGTCAGCCAGGCCGAGGGTGCGCAGGCTGCCGGCGAAGCCAGCCAGGCTGGAGGCCAGGGGGGATGGGTGCTCCTGGTCGACGTCCATTGCCTCATCCTCGTCGGTGTCCAGCGCCGCCGCCTTCTTCCCCTTCCGCCCGGCACGCTTCTTGGCTGTCGGGCCAGAGCTCTGGACGCCCCGCAGCCATCCAAGGTAGGAAGAGCACAGCACGCGATCAAAGATGCCCCGCGTCTGTCGTGAGGTGGGGAATGCAGGGTGGGAAAGAGGTGCGGCAAGTGTATGCCATGCTCAGTGCAACTTCCTCACCACAGGGCCTAGATGGCACCACCACCCCTACCGGGCACTTGTCGACGGCCAAAAGGCCGAAACACAGCTCCACGGCACCGACTGCATGGTCGTGGCTGCTGTGTGTGATGATGGCAGCCAGGGCTCGGGAGATGTGGGGCAGCCCGGCACCAGCCTCCTGCAACCTCGCCCACAGCGCCTCGCCCGCGCTTGCCACCCAATATGGTGGAGTTTCGAGCAAATTATCGCTCATGTAGGAGCTGAGAGCTGTTGTTACGCCATCCTCGCTGAGTCCCGTGGCCTGCAGCTCTTGTCCGAGGTGGGACAGACGGGACAGCACCCGTACCACACCCTCCATTGCTGAGCTTGTCTCAAAGGCTCGCGTCTTTCCCTTCACAGCATTTCGACGTGACGAATACAGTTTGGGCACTGATCTGAGTTTCGTGGGCGCCCAAGAGGGCGCGGGGCGGGCTTGCCTGTCCGATCGCGATTTTGTATTTCGGCGATCCCGCGATGGGGAAACAGCTGAGATGAGAGAATGGGGCTCTCGGAGAGGGTCATCTGACAATCAATTTCACCTTCAAGGCTATTCTCGGAAAGCAACAGGTAACAGTTGAGAGAAGATGCAGAGTTCATACCTCCAAGGATCTGACTTGTGATACTTCTGTGTAGTTTGTTACTGCGCTGCAATGTTTAACAAAGCGCTCAAGGTGTACAGCAGTCCGACACATTCACGCACCAGCTCGTCACTGGTGTCTTTCAGCATATCATTACTGAAGCACAGGATGAAGGTTTGTCAATCTATCATTACTTGTGACCTATGGCTTGCTAGATGAAGATGCAATGTAAGTGCAACTTGGCAACAGCGTCTGAGCTCTCACCATCCACGCACTGTCTGCGAGTAAGGAAACAGACTTTCAAATGTGGTGGCGCAGTGCTCGAGTCTTGAATGTCTCGGTGGCTGCGGCTAACAGTCAAACCCTTGCATGTACACGGACGATGGCTCCCCCCAAAACAGCAGCCCCGCGCGCGCATTGAGTTATTTGCCTTGACGGGGACGTTCACACTGTTTCAACCTCCAAGCCTGATCTGCAAGCCTTCCTGGATGACTCTACAATTCCTTAATATCTAACTGCTGTGCCTCCATCTCCTGCTGTTGCGACATTTATCATCGACCGAGCACGTTTCGGAGTGCGAAACCCACAAGACACGAGATACACAGCACGATACTTCGCATACATGACGTTGACAGAGACGCAAATACGAAACATAAACCTCATAGAGGTACGTATCTGGGATCCTGCGGCCCGAAGCGGCTTCGAGCTACAGCCAGGACTTGATGGCATGGCGGCATGGTGGTTGTAGTTTGACTCATCGGCATGATCGAGCTGGCGCCTGCATCGTTGAAAGGCAGCACGAAAGTTCTTGCATAGACGCCGTGCAGGTGTTGATGGAAGATGCGGAGGCCGAAGGTCGTCAGATAGAGGAGCCACCCCCCACTGCACAGGACTGGTACGGGTGTTGAGGAGGTCCCTAAGAATGCATGCCAGCCCACAGCAGATTGACCCAGCACATCCCAGCCACAGCACCACCCCCTCCTTGTCGCAGGACCGAGAGCCGGATCCGACGGTACTTTGAGACAGGGGTCGACGCGGCGGCGCCCACCTTCCCGCCGCCCGAGGCCGAGGTGTTCCGCACCTGGTTCCCGGGCCTCCCCTTGAGCCGCACGGCCTCCGAGAAGCCGGCGCTGCTGGTCCTCTGCTTCCCCAGCGCAGGCACCTCGGAGGACACCTACACGAGCGAGGGCACCGGGGTCCGCCGGGCCCCATCCCCCCTCCTGGTGGGCACCTGGATGGGGGAGGGTGCACCACAAGACTGGGAGGGGTGCTTGCTTTACACTAAAAAGAGCCCAATTACCTAGATGAGAGTATGCCTGGCTTGCATAGGAAAGCCATGGACGGCTACCCTACCTCCCTCAACCAACAACTCACCCCTGTGCAGGACTGGTGCCGGGCCAACAACGCCGAGTGTTTGGCCGTGCAGCCGCCGGGGCGCAACCTGCGCAGCAAGCACGCCTTTGCAGACAGCGCGGCGAGTCTGGCGAAAGAATTGCTACCTGTGGTCGCGTCTCGCCTGGCCAGCACCCCCTACGTCATCGTGGGGCACAGTCTCGGCACCTGGCTGGCCTTCGAACTGCTGTCGGCCGCCAGGGACGCGGGCCTGCCCCTGCCCCTGCACGCCTCCCTCTCCGCGCTGTGCGCCCCCGACATCCCTTTCGACCAGCGGCCCTGGCGCCAGCAGCGGACCCTTGGCGAGGAGGACTTCAAGGCGCGCGGGAGTGGGCTGCGTGTTTGGCATGGAGACACTGGTTGTTTGACCCGCTCTCTGCAAATGCCCACTGCCAGGTATGGTCCTTCCCCTCTGTGTACCGTCCCGTGTGCAGGAGGAGTGCCGCGGCTGGAGTGTGAGCGAGATCCTGTTCACGCCCGCGCTCTGGCCGACATACCAGCCCATCATGCGAGCAGACTTCCGACTGTTTGACGAGTACGAGTTCACCAGAGCGGGGGAGGCGCCCTTTGACTTCCCCATCCACGCCTACTGGGGCACCGGCGACCTCAGGATCAAGCAGTGGATGGTGGAGGTGAGGGAGTGATCGTGGTGAGGGAATGAGCGACAAGACCCCAGATGGTTCTTTGGAGGGGATTAAGAAAGAAACGGGGCGCACAGCCAGGGGTGGAGGCCAGCTTGTGAGTCTCGATGCCTGCCACGCTGCAGCCCTGCATGGCATGGGACACCTCGTCTCTCTGCCTTGGCAGCGCAGCTTCAAACATCCGCCATCTCCGACCTCCACCCCTCCCTCCGCTGCAGGGCTGGCAGCGCTTCACCAGCGGCAGCTTTGCCTGCACCCCCATCGATGGCAACCACCTGTGGATCCAAGACAAGGCGGCCAAGCAGGCCTGGCTGGCATCGATCGCAAAGGATCTTGAGGGTGTGATGGGCTCGAGAGCCTGAGGCGCCCTGAAGGAGGGCCACCTGCCGATCTCGGGATGATGACATGATACCGCTGCTGTTAAATACTTGGCGACCCTCAGTCCATGCCACAAGGGCCATTGCCAGTCAGGGTCAACTCTTTGCACGGAGGCAAGGGCAACGTACTGCTCTTCGGGGGTACAAGGCTCAGGGCTTGGACAGAGGGATGCCTTCCAGAAAGGACTGCACTGCATGTGAGTGTGTGCACGGGCCAGATCACCCATCCCTGCACGTGCACTGGCCTGGTGCACCCCTGAAGCTGCTCGTGCCTCTGCCAAGGGACCTTAAGGGCCCTTGCCGAACGTCCTGGACAGCCACGATCGCTGGATCGAGGCGTCGTGTGAGAAGCTGCCGTACTTGGCCGACATCTTCTTGAGCACACTGTGGTCATAGGAAGGGGAATGGCGGGAGGATAGAGATATTCACTGATGGAACCAGGCACACATCCTTGGGACAGCTGGCTCCCTATCAAGTGCTCACAGGAAGAGATTTTTCCTGTCACAACCTGATCATGGCCAATTGTGCATCCCCTTCCACAAAAAGCCAGCCCTCGTCATGGTGTCCAAACCCCCATTACATCCACAAGCTGTGCCAACCCTCCGGTGCCCTTTTCACCTCCGACCCCACCTGCTGGAGGACGTCTTGGCGTACAGTGAGGCGGCGGTGAGGCGCGACAGCTGGGGTGGGCCGCCGGGGGCGGCCGCCTGCCGCCCCGTGGTCGCCGCCGAGAGCTCCTCCATCTGCACGGCGTTCTGGACGCTGCGCTGCAGCTGCCGCTCGGCGTCGTTCTCGAACTCCTTGTACTCGTCGTAGGTGGGGGGGCGTCGCACGCGCAGGTAGACGGCGATTATCATGCCGATTGCCTGCAGGATGAGGGCCACCAGGAAGAAATAGCGGCCGATGAGGCAGGCGTTGCGCACACCGTCGTACCTAGTCGACATGAGTGGGAGGTGGAGAGGGGACGGAGCTGAGTGGTAGCTCACTGTGGGATGGGGCCAGGTGTGCATGGCCTATGGGCACATCTTGTTGGTGCAAAACCTTTGCATCCAGGGGATCGGTGCAGGGGGTGGGCAGCAGCACAACTTGGCATGGGCACAGCATCCTCACTGCACTCGGAGTTGGCCTTCGGTATCATACACGTTTGATGATCCGGGCCAGGATCTCCCATCTGCCGCAGCCCCACCCAGCCAGCCAGCAAGCCCCTCGTGAGTGGGCAGTCGACCACAAGCCCAACCTCGAAAGTCACAGGCACCGTTTCTATACACACCCAGCGGATGCAGCACGCCTCACTCACCCATCCCAAAAGGGGTTCATGCTGAGCTTGTACAGCGTGATGTTGGCCACCACCCCATTCAGGTTGAAGAAGAGCGAGAGGATGATGCCCAGCTGGGCCATGGTGAGCAGGCATCCCATCACCAGGTACATGGTGAGGCAGCAGAGCCAGCAGTAGGATCCGATGAGGCCGAACAGGGAGGTGAAGCAAGCGAATGATCCCACAATGACCAGGCCCCTGCGCGACGTAGGGGAGAGGGGGGGGAGGGGCCAATCAGTTCAAGGCAGGGGAACACTCCCCATGGTCTCACACACTGGTGAGTGACATGGATCTGCCCTCATGGTCGCTGGAAGCTCACAGCGGGAGCGCGGTGTTGGGTGGGGCGCAGAGGACGAGCCCGTATATGATGAAGCCCAGGCCCGTCACGAAGTTCATGCAGGCCATCACTCGTAGTGATATGGCCGCTGGGCCCCTCTGCCTCCCGCAACACATGGCGGTGTGCGTGGATCTGGAAGGGACTGCCGAGAGGTGGAGGAGGAGCCGGGTACGCGATTGTCCAAAAGTGGGGGATTTCGCGGACTATGGAGGCCTCACTTCAACAATTGTTTTCTTGAATCCAGTCTTTGTTTTTCCCAAGTAGGTGTGAGTGAGCACTTCTCATCCCCGCGGTGTTTACACACCGTCTCGTTCCACGGAAGGTGCTTTGCGCCCTTGGTGCCCCCGTAGATCTGGGCTGCCCTCATTACACCATACATGGTGGGCAGGCACGGGACATCCCACCGATGCATTTCGCCAAGCTGCGGTGCCCTTCCTGTGCTGCGGCGTTTCCTCCCGCTCAGACCGCGTCGAAAAATGTGTGGGCGTCGTCGCGGCCTGGTCACCCGCCGCCATATCCGGCCTGGTACAGGAAGGGGCTGGGCTGCAGCTGCTGCTGCGTCCTGGCCTCTATCCACGCCTGGACCCCCGGCACGCTGCCCACGCCCTGCTGCGCCCCCTGCCAGCTGGACCGAGAGCTGCAGCGAGGGGTGGGGTCATGGGGTTGAGGCTCCCGACGACGAGTGGGCTGGGAGGATGGGCATACAGCGAGCGCAAGGGGGGAGCCGAAAAGCATCCAATACTGGGGGGGGGGGTAAGCAGGAGCTCCATGGCATGGCCCCTGGTCGCTTTGCCTGCAAAGCGCCCACGCGCCGAGGACCTCTCCTCCTCCCTCCATTCCCAGCGGGCACGCGAATGCACGAGGTCGCCGCCCGCCCCGTCTGCCGTGGCAGCACGAGCCCCGCCTCCCCCCCCCCTTTCTCACCCGTCTGCGGCCGGCTGGAATCCAAACCCGGGCACGCTCGTCCCCGCCTCGTACCCCTGGCCGTCCAGGCTGCGCCCCGCCAGGTTCAGCCCCCCCAGCGTGGTAGGCAAAGACGAGGCGGGCGAGGCCAGCCCCGCCGACGCCGCCGGCCACTCGCGCGGGTCGGCGCCGTGGCTGTGCCCCTGCGCGGCGGCCGCGGCGGCCTGGATCTGGGCGCAGGCCGCCGCCCAGTCGGGCGCGTGCGCCGGCGTGTAGGCCGGCGCCTCGGCCTGGTGGCGGGGGCCGGGGTAGGCACTCCCCCCACCTGCCTCCCGGCTGCGTCGGGAGGCGCCCAGGGAGTGCGGGCCCGGCGGGGGCAGGGACGTGCCGTGCGCCCTCTGCCGCCACCAGCCGCCGGCGGCAGCCTCGGGCGGGCCCGCAGACGGTGCGGAGGGCGAGGCCGGCGGGTGGGACAGGCGCTGGCTCAGGCTGCTGCCCAGGGCTGAGCTGGAGGAGGGCGGGGAGAGCAGGGGACGCGGCGCCGCGTCCTCCTCTTGCAGCACGTCGTCGCTGTTGAAGGGGAGGGGGGAGGGGGAGGGCCAGATGTGTTTGGGGAGAGCGGGGCGGTGCCGGAAAGGAAGTCCTTGGTCAAAAGGGTCCACAGCGGCACACAGGTTCCTCAGCCGCTGTGATCAGAGGCGCAAGGGCCCGCTGGCCCGTCCCTGCACCACGCAAAGCAGTCCCACACAAGCCAGAGGCAGGAGCGCACAAGCCCCTTAGCCTGCCCTCGTTCCCTCGAGCACTCCTTCGCCCCTTGCTCTTCCTCCACCCGCCGCCCCTTCAAGCCCCTGCCCCTCACCTCCACAGCGGGTTCCAGTCGCCCGGCTCGGGCCCGTCCTCGAAGCCTGGGCTGGGCATGCCCGGGCCGAGGCTTCCGCTCGGCGCGCCATGCAGCACGGCGGTCGGCATCGCGGCAGACTGCCAGCCAGCCTGCGGCACCCCCTGCGCCTGCGCCTGCGCCGCCGCCTGCGCATGCTGAGCGGCCGCCAGCTGCTGCTGCTGCTGCTGCTGCTGCGCCGCCACGAGCGCCTGCTGCGCGCTGTACTGCTGGAGCAGCAGGTGCTGCTGCGCCGCCTGTGCCTGGGGGAATGCGCCCGCGCCGGCGCCCGGGTACGAGGTGCCGCCAGGGTAGGAGCCCGGGTATCCGCCGGCGGCGGCCATGTAAGCCTGCTGCGCGGCCGCCAGCTGGGCCTGCACCTCGTAGGCCGCGGCGGCCTGGCTCTCGTAGGCCGCGGCCTGGGCCTGGGCCAGCGCGGCGGCGTAGGAGCTGACGGACGAGGGCTGGAAACCCGGCAGGTGCACCGACCCGCCCGGCAGCAACGGCAGCAGGCCGGAGTAGGAGGAGGGCAGCGGCGCGTCCAGCGCGGCCGCCGCCTCGCCGTCGCCCAGGCGCCAGCTGCCGTGGCCCTCCATCCAGCGCGCCTGGTGCGCAAAGGAGCGGGAGGGCGGGGAGAAGAGGGAGGGCAGCGACCCGGCGCTGGTGCCGCCGCGTGCCAGCGCTGCCGCCAGCGCTGCCGCGTGGTAGCCCGACAGCTCCAGGCCGACTGGCTGCTGCGCGGGGGCGACCCCGGCGTCGCGCGCGCCCCACCCAGTCACCCCGGCAACGGTCGCCTGCCGCGGCGGCGCGGGCGCCGCGCCGGACGCGGCCGACCCTTGCCGCGGCGGCACGGGGATGCCCACGGGCGCGCCGGCGGGGGCCGCCGCGGCGCGCGGGCCGGCATCCGGGGCGGGCATGTAGGCGCCCAGCCCCGCCCAGTCGCGGCCCGTGAGGAAGGGGTGGCGCGCGGCCTGGCGCGGCGTCCAGCGCCGCGCCGGATCCGGCTCCAGCACGCCGCGCAGGAGGTCGAGGAATGCGGCACGCGAAACGCTCTCGCGCACGGCCTCGGCCTCGCCCACGCCCGGCGCCAGCGGGTAGGACCCCACGATCTCCGCCAGGCCACCGGCCTTGAAGTAGGTCTTGCCCACAGGCGCAGGTGCGCCGTTGGCCGCCTCAAACTCGGCCGGCGTGCGCAGGACCAGGCCCTGCCCCGGCCGCGCCTCGCCGCCTCTGCCGCCGGGGTCCGGCCGCCCCTGGCCCCCCGCACGCGCATCGTAGTGCTTGTGCGTGTTGCGCCCCGCGCCAAGCAAGCCCTCCGGCAGCGGGCCCAGCGTGGAGGTGATGCGGGTCAGCATGTCGTGCTCGCAGGCGCCGGGGAAGAGGGGCAGGCCCAGGAACAGCTCGGCGGCCAGGCAGCCCAGGCTCCACATGTCGATGGCGGGGGTGTAGGGGCAGCCCAAGATCACCTCGGGGCTGCGGTAGAAGCGGGACTGGATGTAGGAGTAGACGGTGCGCGTCTGGAAGCAGGCGCTGCCAAAGTCGATGACCTTGACCTCGCCGGAGGGGCCGGCGCGGAGCAGCACGTTCTCCGGCTTCAGGTCGCAGTGGATGATCTCGGAGTCGTGCAGCACCTCCAGAGCATCCAGGATCGTGGTGGGGGGGGGGGGGAGTTGAGAAGAGATGGGGATTTGGGGATATTTGGAATGGAGGACCAACGGGAGGGGGTGCAGGCTGATGGACGAGTGCATCTGCTCATGAAAGACACCTGGAATCAGCGCTCCAGTGCATGGAACGGCGAGCCGGTGCACCCAGTTACCCCTGGCTTGCCCCATCCGGCACGCGTCAAGCGACCCCAGGTAAAGCCACACCCTGTCCGCCACCCCTGCGCAGACCTGCAGGATCAGGACCCGGACGAGGGGCAGGCCGAAGCCGCGGAACTTGTTGCGCCGGATGACCTCGTACAGGTTCAGGCTGAGCAGTTCGAACACCAGGCACAGGTGGTTGTGATGCACGAAAAAGTCCTGGGGGTGAGGGGAGGAGGGGGGCCATGTGGGCCGGGGAGCTCGCGATGGCGCAAGGAGGCCGGCAGGATGAGGGCATGGCGCTGGGCGCGCCCTGGGACCGTGGGACCGCCCACCAGCCCGACATGGCGCCACCGCAAACCCCGCAGTCCCTGCCAAACACAAAACACAGGCCGATCAAACAGGCACACCTTCATGCGCACGATGTGGTGCTTGTTCCCTGGGTCCGCCTTGGTGTTGAGGTACTGCAGGATGCCCACCTCCACGCGGGCCTGCTGGAAGTAGGCCGGCTGCGCCTTGATCACCTTGACCGCCACCACCTCGCCACCCCTGCCGCTCCCGACGTCGGGCATCTCAAGGCACCGAAAGACCTGGCCAAAGGTGCCCTGGCCCAGGAGGTCTTGCACGACATACCTGTAAGGTAAGAGGGGGAGGGTGCCGGCACGCAGATGTTAGAGCTAGAGCCCGGGGGAAGAGAGCTCTGCCTTCTGTTTATAGGGCACCAGAGGATTTGGAAACCCTAGAGCCTGTTGCGCGATACCATCCCACCCCAACCCCCGCAGAACACCATGCAAGCTCTTCCCTGTTCCCACTCTGCAGCACCCCAAGTTCTCGAGCCAGACAGCCAGTCTCATGCACGCAGCTACTCCTCACCGAGTGTGCTGTGATCGGAGCTCGTCATCCACTGCCACGATGAGGTCTGAGTTCACATTGTCATGCGGCTTCCCCTCCACCGCCTCGTAGGGTTTGGTCAGAATCCGGCGGGTGGAGGGCGAGGACGCTGCCTCCCGGGATGCCCGGCCCCTCATCGTGGAAATATACTGGCCTGGGACGGGTCTGGGAGGGGGAGGACGGGGCTGGTGGGTTCGCTGAGGGGAGGAAGCGGCATGAAGCAGTGATGTGGCACCATCTGCCCAGATGCCAGGGAGCTGCGGGATGCATCTCGATGGACGGCGTGGCCCATCCGCGAGCTCGCCATGCTGCATGGGACAAACAAAGGGTAGCATGCCTCACCAGCAGGTAGATGGCGTGCGAGAGCGTGAGCGCTCCTGCAGCTCCGGTGCGGGGGTTTCAATGTGCAGCGCCGAGTAGGGGCAGCATGCGCGCGCGAGCAGGGTCAGGGCCTCGACATGGGTTGCTCTTTGGGTGATGCTAGATTGCTGCTTGCGCAAGCGCAGTATGAGGGCGGCCCGCCTCCCTAACCAGCGGAGTGGCCCATTCTGGATCGTCCCCTCCGGCACTGCGGTGCGAGATCGCCACTGTCCTCAATGATCCTGTGACTTAACGGGGTCTACGACCCCAGCGGACGGCATTCGTAGGGATGAGGTTGCGCGATGGGGTGCCGAGGCCCTCTCGGCATCGCCTTTCAGGAATGGTGGTCAGCAGCAGGCGCGCGCAAATCGCTCCCCCGCGCCCTCGGGTAGACCCTGGAACACTGCAGGCAAGAAGCAGAAACCCCTGTGCCCCTGCTGGTCCCATTTTGCCCACCCTAGGCTCACTCTGGTGCGCTGAGGGCACAGTGAGTCGGATGCTGCCTGCATTTCGTCGGGCCTCAGGGGAGCATTCAATCAATTGGCCCGCGGTGGGTGTCATAGGGTATGTGTCAACAAGGGGCGCATGGGCCAGTCAGGCGTGTTGTACAGATGTGTGGGAGGGTTGAGTCCTGATCCAGGCGCCGGAAGCCTAAAGTATCATCCCAGGCGGTGCCGGGGAGTGAGCAGCGGGTCCAGGGTCCGACGGCGCGCCCCAGTCTTTCTCACCCCTTCTGAGACAGAGAGCTCACGCGCCGCCGGCCCCCAGCAGTGCCGCCAGCCAGGGCATCTCCTCGTCCGCGGTCAGCACGTAGAGCAGCTCCGGGGCGGGCATGTTGAGCACCACCCTGGCCTTCAGGCGGCGCGCCGGCGCGTCGCAGAGCAGGAGGCGCGCCGCCGCCAGCGCCTGGCCCGCCTCCAGCGCCGCGCCGGTCGCCACCGGCTCCTGCCCCGCGGCGGAGAGCATGGAGCGCAGGCGCGCCAGCACCGCGCCCACGCCCACCTCCGCCCGGCCCCCGAACCGCGTCTCCAGGTGCACCGCCGCCAGGAGGAGGCGCTCCAGGGGGGTGCCGTGCTGGGCGCGCTGCGCCGCGCTGCCGCTCAGCGCGGCGCGGATGCCGCGGTCTACGTGCGCCATGCTCACCCGCGCCGGCTTCGTCGTGGTGGGGCTTGCCGCGCCGGGGGCCACAGAGGACTCGGCGTTGGCGTCGGCCTGGCTGTTCTCCTTGCCCTCCAGGGAGTCCAGCTCCGTGATCTCCGCCGCTCTGGGCGAGGGGGCAGTGGACCCATGCAGGCATGAGTGAGTCCCAGGGGGCCAGAGGTGGACCAGTGCGCAGGTACGCATGGGCAGCGCACACATGACTCGGAGTGGCGAGTGTCCTCGACCTCGCCACAGCATGTGCCGTCCAGGCAACCCTGTGGAGACACCCCGCCTCAGCTCTCCCCCCCCCGCCCCTCCCCCCCCACACCTCCTGCAGATCTCCAGTGCCAGGCGGATGTCGCCAGAGCAGTTGGCCACCTTGCGAGAAACAAAGACCAGGGCGTTGGGGTCAAAGGCGTCGATGCCTTCCAGCCTGGCGCGGAGGATGGTCTCCAGCTGCTCGCGGTTGTAGGGCTGGAAGGTGATGCGCCGCCCCGCCAGCCGGCTGTGTGGAGGAGGCGGGTGAGGGGTGAGCGGGGGATGTGATGTGGAATTGCCACCGGGAAAGGGTGCGCCAGCCCGCACTCCAGCCGTCGAGCGGGGTCCGAGGCCATTCACAGGGCCCTTTTCCAGGCCCAGCTGTTGCAGGGATCACCCCCTGCTCCGAATCTCGCAGGCGCGGCCCAGGAGACCCTGCTCCATGACCCCCTGTCCCTCCCAGCACACACCTCCCGATCCTGGGGTGCAGGCGCTCGGGCAGGTCCATGGTGTTGGCGATGCCGATGATGGACAGGCGGGAGCCGGGGCGGGAGGGCCAGTCGAACAAATTGTACAGCACCGTCTGGGATGGTGGTGGGAGAGGGGGGGTTCCGATGAGCTGGAAAGGCTGGCCCGGGGGATGTGTGTCCTGGTACTTGAGCGTCCACACCCTGAGCCGCCGAGTCGACGAACGAAGTCAAAACACACAGGGGAGCATGCCTGCGGTCCTATACCAGGTGATACCCTGCTTCACCACTTTCCAACATGACCCCCACACACAACACACACCTGAGCCCTGTTCACGAGCAGGTCCAGCTCGTCGACCAGAACTATGACGGGGCGCTTGGGGGGCGCTGACTTGGACCGGCCCGTGGCCGCCGCGCCGCCGCAAAACATGCGCTCCAGCGCCGCCGCGGCCAAGCTGGGCCCCAGGCGCTCCCCCGTCAGCGCCTGCAGGTGTGGAGAAGGGGTGAAAGTGTGCAGGCCAATGACTTCACAGGGGCTGGACACCCAGTCAGCCAGGAATCTGCCCACCGTCCTGGTGTCGCTCAACACAGCGCACCAGCCCTCCGCCCCCTCCACATCACACGCGAGGCCCCTCCCCGGTCGTCCCACCTCGTGCAGGGCGCAGTAGGCGTGCTGGGGCGAGGCGAGGCGTAGGCCGTTGATCTCCACGAAGCGGAAGGCGGGGACCTCGCCCGACTCCACGCGCTGGCGAGCCGAGCGCATGACCTCGAGCACCGTGGCCGTCTTGCCCGTGCCGGGGATGCCCGAGATGTAGAGGCAGCGACCGGAGCAGCCGGGGCCCTGGTCTGCGAGGGAGGGGAGGGGAGGAGAGTGATGTTGTGGGCGGTCAGCTGAGGCCGCGGGCGACGTGAGCGGCCCCCAGTGCACTTGCTGAGAAAGCTCACGGGAGATCAGCCAGGACCACCACCGTGCGCAGTACCCTGGACGTCGCTTGCCCGCCTTGCCACCCTTACCCCCCCCCCCCGCCCTTGCCCACCCGGCACCGACACCTCCCGCACACCTGCGTCCAGGACCGACTCGACGAAGCTCTCCACGGCTGCGCGCTCGGCCTCGCGGCAGGGCAGGCGCCGCGGCGCGGCGCTGGGCGCCAGCGCGTCCCTGGCACGCGCCAGCGGGCACGCCGACAGGGCGCGGGCTCGGGCGGCGGCCGCGACGGCCAGGTCGTCGCCGTCGGCGCCCGTGCGGCCCACGACTCCCAGCAGATCCTTGCCGCCCTGCAGGAGCCGGGAGGATGCGTGGGGTCAGGGTCGGCGCACAGACATCCAGACGGCAGTCTCGCGCCGATGGCAGGGGAGGCATGCGATGCGGCACGGGGAGCGAGCACGCGTGCGCGATCTTCTCGCCGACGCAAACCCACCTGTCTGGAGGGACGCGGGTTGGCCGTGCCGTAGCCACGCAGGTTCTTGGGCGGCACCAGGCCCTTCTCGGCCCACATGGCGTACACGGACTTGCAGTGCAGGCCAGCGTCGCCTTCCTGGTTGGCCTCATCGGCCTCGGCCTCGGGCCGCCAGTCATCGCCCTCGTCCTCCGACTCGCTGGGCCCAAACTCCGGCCGGCGCCGGAAGCGCTGCGTGTGTTTGAGGTGGTGGGGAGGGGGCGCTCGTGGGAGTGGGTGCTGGGGATCGCCGCCCGAAACAACGAGGGAAGCCCATGCATCCACGGCCAGCGGCACGACTCACTACGCTGCCGCTGATCGGTCATCTTTTCTCGCCGTGACGCTTCCGAGCGCAGCGTCACAGTTGCACAACCCGTGCCCAGGCCTGTGCACGGCGCACCCGTTCCCTTCCCCATCTCCAAGGCCTCCCCCCCTGAAATCCAGGGCCCCCCATCCACACAAAACAACACCTGCCAGGCTTCGTTGTACTCGTAGTCACAGAGGAAGACGTCGTCCCCAAGCTCCGGTGGCGCGTGTCGGAACTCCGGCGATGGCAGGACGTGGGCGTGGCGCAGGAGGGTGGTCACCTCATTCAGGTCGCGCGTGGAGGTCAGGAACACCTCGCGCGCCGCGTGGTGCGTCTGGTAGGCGTGGCGGGGGCGGAGTGGGTGGCAGATGAGAGTTATGAGTTGCGTGTGTGTGTGTGTGTGGAGGTCGTGGATCTTGATTCAGGGCGCATGTCCTGTCGACAGCCTGCCGAATCTAGACACCCCACACCTGTCACACAAGGAAAACCACGCCACCCCCACCTGCCGCCCGGCGTGCGTCTCCTCCGGCAGGCAGTACCAGCGCAGGGTGGCGGCGTGTGCGCCGCCGCCCATGGCCCACAGCGCCTCGATGCGGGCCAGCGCCAGGCCCGCCCGCGTCAGCACCCTGGACCGCGCCGTGGTGGGGCCCTGGGCAGGGACGGGCCTGCCCTGCTCGCAGTCCGGGCACACCCAGTCATCCTTGTGGGGATTTGAGGGGGGCCGGTTGAAGTTTGAGACCAGGGACTTGCATTGAGGAAGGGCAGCGGCCAGTGCAACATATTCCAAACCCTCATCTCTGTGTAGCCAGGTCACAGGAACCCAGCTTCCAGAGGGTGAAGAACCGCGCGCCCAGCGCATCGTCCTGCAGTCTGCTTCCAATCGAGACCAAAGCCACCCCCACCCTCTTCAACTAGGCAACGGTCCTCACCTCTGGCACGGCGTCCAGGGGCGGGTCCAGACAGCAGAGGTGGAAACCGCGGAGGCAGCGCCCGCACTCCAGCATGTCGACGCCGGCGCGGTCCACCTCGCCGCACGTAGCGCAGGCCTCCTCCTCCTCGTCGTCGCTGTGTGAGTGGAGGAAAGCGACCTTGGGGGATATGTGACACAGGCAGGCTGGGTTGACAAGGAACCGGGGTGAGGACTCCTGCCTGGCAGGGCTGCAGGCGGTGCGCATGGAATCCAGATCGCAACACCATACAGCGGCCATTGGATGCCACCCCCCCAACACATCCCCGGACCTGAGGCCTTGGATGGCAGAGTCGTCCAGCACGACATACACGGAGTCACCGGTATGAAAGGTCACATTGTCGATCTCGACAGACTCCACAGCCGTTCGGCGGTTGGCTGCACGCCGCTCTGTGCCCTGCTGCTTCTCCTCTGGGGCCACGGTCTTGGCAGCCAGGCTGGCCTTTCTCTGTGCAGGTCCGGCCTTCTTCTTGGCGTGGGGGGCTGCTGGGAAGAGCTGCACCTTGGCAAGGGTCTTGGCCGCAGCAGTAGGCTTGCCACCCTTGGCGAGTGTTCTGGCCGGGACGAATTCCAGCTTGTCATTCCCCAGCCGGACCTTGGGGCCCAAGCCCCTCTGCTCCCGCTTGCCTGCAACTACCGGTTTCTTGCTTACTACGGCCTGCCGGGGATGGATCACACCGCACATGAGCTACTTTAGTTTGAACTGGTACAGATCACCAGTCTGTGTTGTCACTGCTCCCCCATCGACATGCCACCTACCTGGGTCCGGCCCGGCTTGCGTGCGGGGTAGTGGGCATCCACGGTGCTCCGTCCATCGTCATCGCTCTTCCGTTTGGATGGAGACAGTTGTTTCCTTGTGCTGACCATCGTGTCGAACAGCGGATTGCCAAGTATGTGCAATGCAATGGGCCGATGATCTAGGCGCGAGGTCCGTTGGTGCCTTGGATGGAGTCGCGCATTTGAAAACAAAGGCACATGCAGTGCCTGCAATACTGCGTTCAACACACTATGGTCTTGTCCTGGTGAAGCGAGCGCAACATGCCTTCAACGCGCGCACTCGCTGCACTGCCTCATGCATGGCCCCCCGGCAGCTTGACGTGGTTTGAGCGACGTGAAGGAAGAAAACTGGAATGGCACAAATATGTATCTCGTCAAAGAAGATTACATGACATACAACAAGAAACAATAAACTCACACCGGGAACTTGTGCCCTGAACATGCATCAAGTGTTAGGTGCAGTCTCCTCAGGTCCTTATGTATAAAGAAACAAGTACTGCCAGGACCAAGGTCAGCAGTGCAAGCAGGAGTGCCAAGATGTGGCACCATGGTCCAAACTTCGCCCAATTCACGCCAGCAAACCAGTCGAGAAGGTCCTCCTTGGCGTTGTAGACTGCATGCAGAAGAGCGGTAGCGTAGCCGCGGTGTGTCGAGGGCTGGAGTGCCACTTGAGGTGCCGGGCGCGTCTCCGCCAGGGCTCGCTCACATACGTCCCTGACTATGTCTGCCACCTGCATCAGCAATAGATTTTGGATGGTGGTCCTGATGATACGAGAGATGCATGCGTATATGAACAGAATAAACCGAGCAAGTGCAGGGGGTGGGCCATCCTGTCTTGGGAGGGTGTATAAGGGAGCTCCCAAGAGCAGCAGCGCATCACGAAAGGCTCACTTGCAAACATCACCACAACGTGCATGCTTCCTCGCCCGGAGCATCCCCTGCAGCCACCAACAGGTTTCCCCACACCTCCTCCGCACGAACTCCTATCCACACCACCCACCTCCTGATACTCCTTGGCCACAAAGTAGTGGTCGCCCGCCCTGATGGGGATGTGGGTGTGGGCGGCGAGGGTGTGCCGGCCCCACCCTCGCATGGCCCCACGTTCAATGGTCCCGTCCAGCCGCCCGTCCAGGGACACGATGGGGCAGGCCAGGGGCGGCACGCTAGGGTCGTGGTGGTACCGTACCGCCATGCTGATGTCAGCGACGCCTAGGGGGGCGACGCGCCAGAACAGGCGGTCGTTCCTCCGCATCTCCTCCACCCCGGCAAAATTTCCGGCCTCGAAGGCCTTGAGCAGGGTGTCTTTGGAGAGGTCCTTCCAGCCGCTCAAGATCCCCAGCACCTCCTCCACAGGGGGTGGCTCGGACCGACCTGTTGGGTGCCAAGGGGTGTCAGAGGTTGGAGATGGTGTCGGGCACAAGGGCGCGGGGGGTGAAGTGACGCTGGCCGAGGGTTATTGAGGGGGCCAATTGTTGGGGGCCACACACAGGACATCTCACTCACTGTGCATCCTTTGCAAACGCCTTCTTGCCCAGTCTATGAGAGCCGCGGAATCTCAGCCCAACCCACTCCCTCATCTCACTCATGGCCCGCTGGAGGTAAAGGCGCATGACAGCCCGAGCATAGAGGTGGGGCGGGGCCACGGCCGCCACGATGAGGGCCAGCGGTAGCCGCCGGCCCTCCTCCCTTTCCAGCAGTGCGGCCAGCTCATAGGCCACGATGGAGCCCAGGCAGGTGCCGAAGAGGACGTAGGGCAGCTCGTCCAGTGGCAGGGTGTGCGCCAGGTAGGCGGCCAGGTCCTGGACCTGGCCATGCGCCGGCTGGGAGGCGAGACGACCCCTGCCCGGGATCTCCACCGGCCAGACCTCGATCCAGGCGGGCAGCCGCTCCGGGTACCTGCAGCGTTGCAAGCGGGGATGGGGCTGATGGGACCGGTGGCTGCTGGGGTCTGCACTGGAGAAGGTTGAGACCAGTCTCCTGTGTTTAGGTGCTCACGCTCTCCAAACCACGCTGCCATCGCCGTACCTTGCAAAGACGTTGGCGGACACCCCAGCAGCGTAGGGCAGGCAGAACATGCGCAGGAGTGGCTTCTGCATCGGGTGACGAGGCGGCGCAGGTCCATGGGTGTCTCCCCTAGTGACAGCCCCCGCTTCAGGGGTGCTGCTTGCACTTATGGGCGTTGTGGCCAGGATCTGGAAGGTGTGGCCTGTGGGGTTCTGGGCTCGTGCTGTCTTGACCATGCCCTCCCTGACCTCTGCCACCACGGTGGCCAGCAGGGCGCCTGCGGGGTCCTGCACGAGGCTGGGCGCCACCACTCCAGTCAGATCCTGTGGGGTTCAGATTGTATGGGGTTGGATCGTGAGGCTTTCACAGCGGAAATTTTCAACCTGCAAGAGTAAAGTTCGCCATGACCTCCAAGCTCACCTGGATCTTCTGGCGCAGCTCCAGTGCCGCCAATGAGTCCAGGCCCTGCAGGCCCAGGGGGACACCTGGCTCCAAGCTTTCCACCCCGAGCACGCTCTCAACAAGCGCTCGCAGCCCAGGCTCGACATCGCCTCCCTTCAGGTGGTGCTGTTGCGCAGTCGATGCACCCTCCTGCGGGGACGCACAGTGGAGGGGAGGGAGCGTGGGTGGGAGTGTGGACATCAGGTCTTGCGGTCAGGGGCGGTGGTAATCAACCTGTCCCAATTCTTCCGTAAGCCATACGCTCCTCAGCGGAAAAAAAACAACCAACATCCTACCTGGACGTGGTCCTGGCAGGGCGCCATGACTGCGCTGCCTGCCGCTTCCTCCATGACATCCGCCAGGAGCGAAGGCACCTCTGCCATATACTGCAGCACATGGTGCCAGTACAACCGCGGTACAGCGCCCCACACCGCGCCAGCACGGTCCCAGCTTCCCGCCAGCAGCCGTCGCAGGACGGTCAGGCCCGCCTCGCTGGTGAGCATGCCCATGGCCTTGATCTGGGCCGGGGACGGCGCATGCTTGCGGTGCACCATGCCTGGGGGGGGGTGAGTTTGGGGTAATGTGGTCTGTACCAGCATGTGCCAGGGAGTGACTCAGCGTGTGGCAGGAGATTCAGCTACCAAGGCCCTCGCGCCAGCAAGGAAAGGGCGAGGTCCCTCACCGTCCCACTCACCGACGGTGGCCCAGGCGCCCCACTGCACGGCAGCTACCGGGTGGCCGGCAGCCGAAGCGCCAGCACCCACAGCATCCAAGCACGCGTTGGCGACCGCGTAACTGGCTTGCCCGGCAAAGCCGGCCAGGGAGGAGAGGGAGGAGAAGAGGGACACGCCCAGCGTGGGCACAGCGTGCGCCGCGGCGCCCAGCAGGAGCCTTCCGCCCGCCAGCTTGGGGGCCAGCACCGGGCTCAGGCTCGCGGAGCGGAGCGCCGGCACGCCGGCGGCCACCTGCACGCCCGCGGCGTGGATGAGGAAGGCGCGGGCGCCCGTTGAGACGGGGAGGCCGCCGCGCAGACGCGCGAGGGTCATTCTCAACCCTGCAGCATCTGCAGAGCAGGCCACGTCCGCCGCGACGGCCGTGACACAATAGGATGCGTCCAGTCCAGCTGTTTCCAGGCCGCTGCTGGGGGCCGCGCCCCGACCCGTCCGCCCGACCAGCACCGCGTCTGCGCCCTCGCCGGTCAGCCACAGGGCAACGAGGTGGCCGATGCCGCCCAGGCCACCCGTGACCAGCGCCGTGGCATGGCGGTTCAGGCACTGGGGGGCCCGCCCGGCCCCCGCCTCGCGACCGTACATCATCCTCCTGGCAATCGCGAGGCCGCCCTGCTGGAGGTCATGTGGCATTCCGCCGGCGCGTTCTGACCCGAGGACACCCTCAGCTTCCACCGCGCTCCTCACGAGATCGCTCCCGCCGTGCGCCAGCTTCCTGGCCTGGGCGGGGAGCTCCAGCGCTGCGCTGGCCAGCAGCGCCGGCACGACGCCGGAGAGTGCCGTGCCGGCGGCGCCGGGGACGGGCGCGGGGATGCTGCCGCTGGCTGCCCAGCTCTGGAGGGTGGCAGGTGCATCGCTGGCCAGCAATCCCTGGACGACCTGCACCGCCCGGATGCACCCCGCGCGGTCCCCGGCCGTCGAAGGCCGCAGCGCCAGGGCCCAGCCAGCGCGGAACGTCTGGAGGCGGGGCAGCGTTCCCAGCACCTGCTCCTCCACCTCGTACTCCAGCCTCTCTTCCAGCCCAGCCGAGGCAGCGCCGGCGACGACGGGCGTTCCCAGGGGCACCCACTGCAAGCCGCGTGCCTGCCCAGCATCGGAGTGGAACAGCGCTGAAGCACCGAAGCTGGTGCCCCATGAGATTGACTGGGAACCTGACGCAGCGCCCAGATCCAGGACGAGCTCTGCGGCCGCCAGCAGCAACGGGTCGGGAGACAGGGCTTCCAGGCGTGCCAGGCAGAGGATGGGTACAATGGGGAAGCCATCCAAGACATCTGCTGGGCTGTCCAGGCAGCATGTCGCGGATGGTTGTCTGGGCACCTGTGCAATGTTGCAGGGAGAGGAGTGTCTGAGGAGCAGGACACACAGATTGCTGCATGGATGCCAGGGCACGGAAACTGACACTCTATTAGTTCAAGACCATAATACACCAACAACAGGCCGAGCAGCCAGCAACACATGCCCCTCCGTACCTGGACTTGCAGACCTCCCTGCAGTTGGCACCCAGCAGGCCCAGCCACTGCACCCCGCGCGCCAGCAGGGACCCCCTGCAGGTGTACCCTGCGCGCCTCTGCCGTCAGCAGCTCGGTCCTGCCATGGCCAAGCCCCTCCAGGACCACTGCCACGCCCCCCGACCGGCAGTCGGTGAGGATGGTCAGGGACACGGAGTTCCCGGCACTCAGGCTCGCCCACCGCCCCGCCACCACGCCAGCCAGGGCAGGCAAGACTCCTGAAGGAATGCCCAGCGTGCGTAGCGCGGCGGCAGCCAGGCTCAGGCACACTTCTGGCGCTGCAGCGGGGCTGCCGTGCACGCCCACCTGCCACAGCGGCTCGCAGCGTGCGTGCCCCAGGTCAACCGCAAGGGCGACCTGGCCGGCATGCCTACTCAGTGAAGGGCAGAGGGCGGGGTGGGTGTCGGGCAGCAGGGAGTGCTTGCTCCTCTGCCAGGGCAGCGGCAGACGCCTCTGCAGGAAAGGGGGAGGGTTTATCATTGGGTGCCTCAGTCTCTGGAGCAAGAGATGGCCCAGCATCTGCCACCAAACATTTGCAGAGCACGTCCGAGTGTTCCCTCCTTCCCTGCTCATTTGGGTCGCCGCCCTGATACCGCCCTCTAGTCTTCCATACAGCATCGCCGCCCACCTCCCAAGCTGATCCCTCTGCAGATCCCAGCGCAAGCCTGTCGACTGGTGCCAGGACCACGTGCGTATTCACTCCGCTCATGCCGAAGGAGCTCGCGCCGGCCAGGCCCCTGCCGTTCCCAGGCAGCCCGGCATACTGGCGGGGGAGCGTGGCGGCCGCCTTCCCTCCCGGGCCTCGTCCCCAGTCGCCGAGCGCGCCCGCCACGTGCGGGTTCAGGGTGCGCAGGTGCAGGACGGGGGCCAGGCTGCGGTCCTGCAGCGTGCACAGCGCGCACAGCGTGGCCGTCAGGCCCGCCGCGCCCTCCGTGTGCGCGTGCATGGCCTTGCCCGCCAGCAGCGCCGGCGGGCTGGACCCCGGCGCGCCCAGCGCTGCTCCCGCGGCGCCCACCTCCAGCGGGTCACCCAGCAGCGTGCCCGTGCCGTGCAAGCTCAGCGCAGCGACCGCGCCGGGGTCCAAGCCGCCGGCGCGCAGCGCATCGCGCACGACGCGCGTCTGGGCGGGGCCGCTGGGCGCGGCCAGCGCCGCGCGGGATCCCGCCTGGTTGGCCGCCCAGCCCGCCATGCGCGCGAGCGGTGGGGGGAGCAGGGTGCCATGCTCATCTCTTGTGATCAATGGACCCAGGCCCAGCGTGACAAAGCCGTCGCCCCGGCCGTAGCCGTCGGCGGCGGCGTCAAAGGCGCGGCAGCGCCCGACCGGCGACAGCGCGCCCAGCAGGCAGATGGCGGCCGTGGTCGCGCCGTCCAGCAGGGCATTCACCCCAGCCGCCAGCGCGGCGCTGGCCTGGCCCAGGCGCAGCGCGTCCGCCGCCAGCGCCAGCGCCATCAGGGAGGAGGAGCAGGCGGTGTCCAGGGACAGGCAGGGACCGCCCAGGCCGTGCGCGAAGGAGGCGCGGCCCGCCAGGAAAGAGGGGCCGCCGCCGGTGACGGCGAGCGGGGAGGGCGCGGCGCCCACGCGCGCCGCCACACCCGCGTACTCGTGGTACATGCTGCCCACGTACACGCCTGGATGGTCCAGGTTGGGGAGATTTTGGATGAAGAGTGAAAGGGTGAGGGAGGATGACTGGGCGTCTGAGTCCAGGCTGCGCAGGCCCTGACGCCACATTGTGCATCCCCTCAGCGCATCGCAAGGCCCCACTTGTACACCCATTTTAATGCATCATCCGTCAGCGCCCAAGACGCCTCACCGGTCGTTTCCCTGTCCACCCGCATGCCATCGCCCAGCTCCTGCAGGCTCAGACCCGCCAGCTCCAGCAGGATGCGGTGCTGGGGGTCCATGGCGGCCGCCTCGGCGCCTGCTAATCTGAAGGCCCCTGCGTCAAAGGCCCAGATGTCCTCCAGGAAGGCCCCGTGCCGAACGTAGGCTGCTAGCGAGTGGCTGCCGCCGCTGCCTCCAATGGGGCGGTAGGTTGCCTCCACGTCCCACCGCGACCAGGGAACCAGGCCCACAGCATCTGTCATGGTCAGGCAGAAGAGAAGGTGTAGGTGATAGAGGAGTGACCATGCGCAATTCTATTTGACCTTGCTGCAACTGGACAGTGGCTGCCAGCGCCTATTCGCCGGACAAGAAAGCGTGCACCCTTATCCACGCCCACGCACCCGGCGAGTTGCCGACAGGCGTGGGGAACCTCGAAGCGGTCGTGTAGATGGCCACGGATGTTGATCGCACCGGCGGCCCCGCCAATGCAGCGAGCCCGTCAGCAGCGCCCATGGGCACCACCTCGGCGCGCTCAGCCAGCTGCTCCTCGAGGGCAGCCGCGAGCGCTGCGGGGTGCGGGGTGTCAAACAGGATGGTGGCCGGCAGGGCGGTGCCCAGGCGGCGCGCCAGCATGTCGCGCGCCTCCACCGCCGCCAGGCTGTCCAGGCCCGCCTCTGCAAAGGTGGTGTCCTCTGCCACCTGTGCACATGTGATGGAGGGTTTTGGACAGGTGGGGTGAGCTTGCAGGCCGGCTGTGCTACTGTGGGCACCCCTGCCCGCATAACATCCCTCCCTTGCGTCCAAGACCCCTGGAACACCTTCCTGTCTACAACAACACCACGCACCTCCGTCGGCAGGAGGGTCGCCAGGATCAACAGGATCTCGGCCAGCAGTGCCTCCCGCGTCCACACCCTGGAGCTGGCAGTCATTGGCGGGGTCGTTGCCGTGCTGTCGGCGTGAGGCCGATCTACCCTGCTCACAACTCCTTCATGTTTCACAGGTCCCTGCCGCTCCCCCTGCGCCTCAGCCGCCAGTTCAAAAACGGCAGGGCGGACCTGGCCCTCCCCGGCGGCCGCCATGCGGCCCCAGTGGAAGGGGCTGGCCAGCACATCAGGCGGCGCCCCACCCGGCCTGGCGATCAGTAATCGCTGCAGCGCCCGCAGCCCCGCGGCTGGGCGGACCAGGCCCACCCCGATCCGATCCAGCCGCGCCAGGAGGGCTGGGGAGCGGGCCGCCATGCCCACCACCCAGGGCCCCCACTGCACAGACAGCACGGGCAGGCCGCGGTCGCTGGCTCGCGCCGCCAGCGCGCCCAGCTCGGCGTTAGCGGCCGCGTACCCGGCCTGCCCCGGCGGCGACAGCGTGGCAGATGTAGACGCGAACAGGGCCGTCACGAGGACAGGCAGGACGCTTGTGGAGCGCAGCAGCGCAATCCCCGCTCCGGCCTTGGGAGCGGCCAGTTCTCTCAGCTGAGCCGGCCTGTGCGCGGCGAGCGGCGCGTCCGCGAGCACCCCCCCGGCGTGGAAGAGGCTGAGGGTGGGTTCCAGGGTGGCGCTGGTCTGCAATGTTGGGACCTCCAGGAGGTCGCCCCACACCGACACGTCCGCCAGGGTCAGCGTCAGCAACCCGCGGAGCACCAGGCTCGTGCTTTCCAGCGGAGCCAACGCATTAGCACGTCGCCGCCGGCCCAGCACGTGGATCGCCGTGTGCCGGCCAGTCATCGCCAGGTGCCGCATCACCAGGCCGCCCAGCTCGCCCAGGCCGCCGGTGACTAATGCAGCGCCATGCGAGGCGCCGACATCATCGCCGCGCAGCGCCTCGCCCGGTCCCACCCAGGGCAGCAGCCGCGGCTGCATGCGTACGCCGCCTGCCCCCCGCCAGGAGCCGTACCCATCATCGTCATCGTCGTGGTCGTCATCGTTGTGCGGTGGGATGATGCTTGGGCCGCCAGACGGTCTCACAAAGGATCGCGATCCCACTGCGTGCAGGTCGCCGCCCGCGGCGTGCACTTGAATACCACCAGGTCGCTCGCGGGCTGCCACGCGTGCCATCGCCCCCGTGGCACTCAGCTGGGGCTGCAGGGAGCAGCCCCAGAGGCTGAGACTTGTCAAGGGACCCACACCCAGGCTCAGAGTCTGCAGCAGAGCCAGTGCTGCTGCTGGCTGCGCAGTGTTGAACGCCGAGTCCCCAGCCAGCCAGAGGGTCTCCTGCGCTGCTGACTTGTTGGGATGCAGGTTGGCGTGCTGTCGCGCGCCATCAATCCTCTCACGTTGCTGGTGGTGCCGGATTGCTGCTGCATACATGAGTGCGGCGCATCTGCTGGTGGCAGCAGCAACCCCAGCATCTTGGGCCTGCCACTGCGTGATGTACACCATGTGAGCCACCTCCTGCGCCCCGCTCGACCTGCCGCTCCCCTCGTGGTCGTGACCGGCAGCAGTAGTGCTCAGGGGCTTGCTCTGTACTTTTATGAGCCGCGCCTCGCTGGAGCCGCGCATCCCGAAGCTGGCAGATGCCGGTCCCCGATGCCCGGCGGCCTGGAAGTCCCCGGCCTCCACCCAGGCCTCCCTGTGACGCTGCCAGGGGGGCAGGATCGCCGGGCTCGCGGCCACGGCACCAAAGGAGACCGGCACCGTCATCCTGGCAGCAATCGTGGCGCCCAGGTGCAGCCCGGCGTCCACCCTGGCTGCATGGAGGACGGCAGGCAGAGTGGCGCCACCCGCCAGGCAGCCCAGCATGCCGCTGGAGGGACCCGATGGGCCATTGGAGATGCCGCAGAGGACTGCTGCCCGCGCAGGGTTTGGCGCAGCTTGACAATGTGGTGCACGCCAGGACGCCACCATGGCGTGCGCCACGGTGGCGACGCTCCCGGCGCCGGTGATGTGCCCGCCAGACTCCATGCTCACGCTTTCCTCCCGTACCAGCAGGCGCAGCGGTGCGGTGCCGCCGAGGCGGACTGGGGATGGCAGGGTCACACCCACCAGCAGTGCGCCAGGCTCTGCCCTTCCGGGTGCAGTGGGATTTCCATGCACAAGCATAGCCGCGCCCGAGGCCATCAGCTCCAGGCTCATGGCGGCCGGGAGCAGTGCCTGGCCCAGCACCTGTTGTTTGGGTGATGGGCGATCTGACAAGCGCAAGGAGACTGTCAGGATGCAATGGCCTCCATTATCATCATCCAGCAGACGGCCCTGATCTGAGCCCAGTTGTTCAACACTCTCACACCCAGGAATCCCACGCCCCACCCTCGCACCTGGTGGTCCAGGAGGTCGGCCAGGCCCGGCTGGGAGAGCAGGACGTCGAAGCGGACTGTCCCCGGCTCTGCCAGGGCCCTCTCCAGGGCCGGGCTGGGCGCCGGGCGCGGCCACAATCGCCGGCGCTCCATCAGGCGCTCGTCACGCGCCCCGCTCTTCACCTCATCACTGATCGCCACACGCGTGGCATCCAAGATGGCGTGCGCGTTGACGCCGCTCATGCCAAAGGAGCTGGTTCCCGCCGCGCCGCGTGGCAGCAGCAGCGGGGCGCGCTGGCGTGGCAGGAGCACGGAGAAGGAACCCCCCCCCGCCCCCAGCGCGGCGCCCACGTGCGGATTCAGCACGCAAAGGTGGAGGGTGGGCGGCGCAGCGCGGGCGTGCAGCGCGCCCAGCGCGCCCAGCGCCCCCGTCAGCCCCGCCGCGCCCTCGGTGTGGCCCAGGCACGCCTTGGTGGAGAGCAGGGCCAGCGGGGCGCCTGGTCCCAGTGCCGCTCCCGCCGCGCCCACCTCCAGCGGGTCCCCCAGCGCGGTTCCCGTGCCGTGCACGCTGAGCGCGGCGAGCGCGCCGGGTCTGATCCCGGCGGCCGCCAGCGCCGCGCGCACGACGGCGGTCTGGGCGGGGCCGTTGGGCGCGGTGAGGGCGCTGCCCCGCCCCGCCAGGTTCACCGCGGACGCCGCGAGCGCTGCGAGCGCGTGCGGAGGCCTCTCGGCATTGCTGCCCCCGCCCGCGGCCAGGGCCGCCGCCAGGAAGCCCTCGCCGCGGCCGTACCCGTCGCCGGCTGCCTCGAAGGACAGGCAGCGGCCCGAGGTGGAGAGCGCACCCAGGCGCGCAATGCCCACCATGGTGGCCGGGTCCAGCAGCAGGTTGGACCCAGTGACCGCCGCGCCAGTGGCCTCGCCCCGGGTGAGCGTGGCGGCTGCCAGGTGGGCGGCCACCAGGGAGGAGGAGCAGGCCGTGTCCACGCTGGAGCTTGGGCCTGATTTCAGGGAGAGGGCATGGTGCCGTGATGCGCTTGGGTACGACATTTGCCTTGCAGCCGACCGACGGGTGGGATGCTTGATCATACAACATTAGCACCAGCGTCGGAAGTAGGCGGCTTGCTGCCGAGCGCTGCCAGTTCCGTAGGAGGCGACACCAAGATGCAGAAGCACCACAGTGACCCCAACCCTCAGTTCCTGTATGTCACCCCCCAACACACAACACCCCCATTCAGCAACCCCACTCACCCCTGAGGCCAAAGGTAAAGGCGATGCGGCCCACCATGTAAGGCGCCCCGCTCCCGACAAAGGCCGGGCCGGGCAGCTGCTGGGAGCCACCCGCCGCCAGCACAGACAGGTACTCGTGATACATGCAGCCAGAAAAGACCCCGGTGGCTCTGGGGTCGAGCACGCTGGAGCCCGCCAGCAGCGAGTGCACGCCCTCCAGCAGCAGGCGGGTCTGGGGGTCCACGAGCAGGGCCTCGCCCGGCGAGACGCGCAGCAGGCCGGCGTCAAAGGCCTCCACGCCGTCGCAGAGCGTGGCGAAGCGCGCGTAGGAAGTCGGGCGCTGGGCGGCTGTGGTCCCTGGAGGTGCATAGATCCGGTCCACGTCCCAGCGGGCCAGGGGGATGACCCCCTGCAGGTCCCTGCCTTCTTCCAGCACGGCCCAGGCCTCCGCCAGGTGGCCACCCGGGGTGCTGGGGAGCCGCGAGGACAAGCCTACTAGATGCACGGCCTTCTTGGCGGCTGTTGTATCGAATGAAATGGGCCGCCCGACATCCTCCCAGGTCTGAGCCTGGACCTCCTGCCTCTCCCCAGTGTTGTCGACTTCGTGCTCCGCCGCCAGCACAGCTGCCATGGCTGCGATGGTTGGCGCATCAAAGACAAAGCTGGGGGACAGGCTGGTGTGGAAGGCTTCGCTGATGCCCTGCCTCACTGCCTCACTCCCTGCAGTCAGGTGCGGTGCGGAGGTGGATTGGATTGGGAAAGGATTTGCGATCCCTTGCTGTGCTGCCTCAGGCAGACTTCCGAGGCATGATATCTTCACATGGATTCTTCATTGCTAATACAGCAGCCCTCTTGTCCCCTGGTTCTTGGGAGCCGGCAACCTACCCAGGGAGTCCAGGCCGGCCTGCATGAGCGGCTCGTCGTCTTCCACCTCCCGCCCCAGCACCCCTGCCACGATGGAGCGCAGCAGCTGCACCGTGGTGGATGTTGTGGCTGAGCGCGTCGTCGTCCTGCCCCGCCTCAGCTGGGAAACGAGGGCGGCAAGGTCGGCGATGGTGGGGTGGTCGTACACCAGCGTGGCCGGCAAGGCTACCAAGAACTGGTCCTGCAGCAGCCGCTGCAGCTCCTGCGCCCCTGTTGTTGGGATTTGAGGAGGGGTTGTGAGGTGAACAGGGGAATGTACGAGTAGAGCCTGGCGATAATGATAGCCGTGCCACGGTTGCCTGCTCATGTCGACACGCAGGATGTGATGCTGCTGGCCAAACCCTCCCTCACACTGTCACCGGCTGCCCCTTTCAATCCACCTAACCCCGCTCACCCATGAAGTCAAGCCCTGCGGAGACCAGGGGCTCATCGGCGGTCAGGCGCCTGCCCAAGACGCGTTCCACGAGCTGACTAATCGTGGGGATCCCGCCCGGCCGAGCGGGCCTGGCTGGAATCTGCACGACCGCCTCCGCTCGTGCACCGCCCACCGGCATCGAGCCTCCAACCGGCTCACCACTGCTCAGCAACCCCGCAAACAAGGGCTGGGACAGCAGCCCGCCGGCCACGATGGCAGACAGCAGAGCGAGGCCCTGGTCTGGTAGCATGAGGCCGAGGCCCGCCCTGGCGAAGCGCGCCTCCAGCTCCGGGCGATTCCTTGTCATCCCGGACGCCCAAGGACCCCACTGCACGCTGATACAGGGCAGGCCGCTGTGCGCAGCGCGCGCAGCGTGCGCGTCCAGGGCAGCGTTGGCGGCGGCGTAGCTGGCCTGACCGGGGGTGCCCGCCCAGGCGGAGAGCGAGGAGAAGGCCACTGCTAGCGAGAGGGGAGCTGAGCAAGGAGTCAGGCGGCGCAGCTGGGCCGTCTTGGGCGCGGCCGTGGTCCGCAGGTGGGCCGCCGTCTGGTGAGAAAGCGGGGCATCCGCCAGGCAGCCTGCCGCGTGAAGGAGCAGGCCGCAGGGCTCGCTAGGAGTGGCGGCTGCTTCAAACCGGCTGTCACACGACGCCACATCAGCCGCGAAGCCGAGATCCGCTGTCAGCCAGGTGGAAATGCCGTGGACTCCTGCCGCTCCCGCTCTCAGGGCGCTCGCCGCAGCGCGCTCATGCCCGACCCTGGGTCTGCCGCGGCCCAGCAGGAGCAGGCTACCGGCTCCGGAGTGCGTCGCCCAGCGAGCGACCAGCCGGCCCAGCTCTCCGCCGGCGCCAGTCACCCAGGCGCAAGCACCTGGCAGGGCAAGGCGGTGGGGAGTCGACCGCCGCCGGGTGGCGTCGACCATGTCCGGCACCAATAAACCGCCGTGCACGAGGATCACGCCTTTGCCCTCTGCAGCATCGAATGCCATGGGCTGGGAAGCAGCGAGGCAGCTCGCTTCGAGATGGCGCCAAGGCTTGCCAACCTCACGCGCCGCCACTCTGAAGAGCGCGGCCGCTGCTGAGGTACTGGAGGCTAGTGGAGATGCAGGTGCACCGCCACCGGTCCAGCTTCTCGTAGTCAGGCTTGCTATCAGGGTCCTTCCCGGCGCCCGCTGCAGCGCCGCCAGCAGATCATGTGGACGCCTGGGGTTGATCGCAGCGCCATGCATGTGCATAAGCACTTGAGCGCCCTGCGCCCGGCTTTCACCTCCATCAGCCCAGGGCCGGTAGACCTGCGCCTCTGCCACCCGCAGCGCGAGGGACGCAGGAGCGACGACCGCCGCCCTGCTCCTCGCGCCACTTGTCATCGCCGCAAATCTCAGTCCTCGAACTGCGGTGGCGTGGCCCAGACGGAAACTGGCGGTGTTGCCGTGCCCGTCCAGACCACCCTCGCCCCAGCCGCCGGCGGGCATGCAGCCGGGAACAGACTTCCAGCCCACCAGCGCCGGGCGCTGGTAGCGTTCCAGGCCGGCGGGCACGCTGAGGGAGGCTCTGGACGGCGTTGAGGTGGTCTGGAGTAGGTCGACCATAGTGATTCCAAGCTGCGTGGCAGCGTCCACCTGCGCAGGGTGCGCCGCGAAGCCTCCCGGCTGCCTGTCGGCAGAGATGTTAGGCAGCATGGCAAAGGCCGCCACGCTGTCGGCCTGGGGCGCTGACTCAGCCAGCTGAAACGAGGCCATTTCCGCCAGCATGCGCCGTGCAGGTACTCGGCGGCTCCCTCTCCAGGCACCGGGGGCCGGTCTGAGCTCGAAGCAGCGGAGCACGCTGCTTGACAGGTGCGTCGTCACGCCGCAGATCCTCAAGCCGCCGCGCAGGGGATCGACCTCTGTGCGTAGCTTTGCTGTCTGGCCGGTGAGTGCCAGGGGCGCCGAGAGAGCCACCCGTGCCATGCCGCCCGGGGTGTCCGCGCCCTGAACAGGCAGCGACACGTCCACCGCTGCCGCGGCCAGCTCAAACAGGGCAGCGCCGGGCATCAGCACCCGCCCCTGCACCATGTGATCCATGAGGAAAGCGCAGCCGACGCCGGGCAGCGAGCTCTCCAGCAGTAGCAGGTTGGGGCCGCTGCCGCTGGGAATCGCCCGTTCTAGCAAGGCTGGGGCAGGGCCCGCAAACCAGCACCTCTGTCGGGTCCAGGCGGGGAGGGGGTAAGAGGTGGGCAGGATCTCGTCAGCCGCATCCTCGCCCACACAGCGGCCCGCCGCCAGGATGACGTGGGCGTTGGTGCCCTGGAAGGCAAAGGCACTGACGCCCCCCAGCAGGGGTTCGCCATCGTCCTGCTTTGTACAGGGCAGGGCGCAGCGCTCCCGCGGCAGGAGGGGCGGTGCGCCAGCGCGCGCTGCCCCGGACCCCGCCACCAGGTTCTGCACCAGGGGGTTCGGGCCGCGCAGGTGGAGCATGGCGTCCGACTCAGCGCCCGCCAGCGCGCGCGCCAGGCGGGCCAGGCCCAGCGCGCCGGCCGCCGGCTCGGCGTGCCCGTGCGTGGCCTTGGCGGCGCCCAGCCGCGCGGCGTGTGCTCCCCGGCCCAGCACCGGCAGCGCGGCGCCGATCTCGATGGGGTCGCCCAGGGGCGTCCCCGTGCCGTGCAGCTCCAGGAGGGAGAGGGCGGCGCGCTGCGACACTTGAGACAGTGCAGAAGAAAGCACGCCGGTCTGGCTGGGGCCGTGAGGCGCCGTCAGGCTGCTGGACCGCCCGTCCTGGTTCACCGCGCTGGCTGCGACGCGGATGGCGCAGGCCTGAGCATGTTCGTGGGAGGGGATGCGGCCGCCAGGGTCCGATGCCTGGCGCTGCAGCCTGAGGACCACGCAGGCCTCCGCCCTTCAAGAGGGGGAAGTCGATGGTGGGAGGATCACGAAAAGTGAAGCAGTTTGCAAGAGTGCACAGTGCACCTGTTCTTTTGAGTGCACCAATGTGTTGGTCGACAGGAAGGCATCTGAACGATGTTCTCTTTGACATTGTGCAGTGATGATGATCGATGAGAGCACATGCGCAGGTCATGCCTGCACTCCATGATCTTTCCCCACCTGACGTAGCCGTCCGCTGAGGCGTCCAGGGTCTTGCACCTGGCCTGGGGGCTGAGCATGCCGGCCGCCGCTGCCGCCGCAAACGTCCCCGGGCTCAGGCACAGGTTGACCCCAGCTGCCAGCGCATTGCCCGGCGCTGCAGCCGCCCTCGTTGCCTGCAGGCCCAGGTGCAGCGCCACCAGCGCCGAGCTGCAGGCGGAGTCCACGGCGGCGGCCGGGCCCTTCAGACCAAAGAGGAAGGCGAGGCGCCCGGCGGCCACCCCCAGGCTGACCCCCGTCGCGGTGTAGGGGCCAATGGAGGTCTGGTGGGGCGCTGACTGGGCCCCGTACTCCATCTGCTGGATGCCGACGTGCACCGAGGTGGCAGAGCCCCAGAGGCTGGAGACCGAGTCCTTCACCAGCAGTTGCCAGCACGCCTGGCAGGCAGGGGTTGCATGGGGGAGATGGTAATCGAGGAGATGCTTGGGATTTACAGTGTGTGTTGAGTGTATTTGGGGCGCTGGAAGGGCCACCATGGCAAAGAGACGGGAGCCACAGCACGGGCCCCAGCCCTGCACGAGCAAGCGCCCTGCTTTCCTTGGTTATCACCATACTCACCTCCATCAGCAGGCGGTGCTGGGGATCAACAAGGCAGGCCTCCAGGGAGGACATGCCAAACAGGCTCAGGTCGAAACTCTCAACCTCGGTGAGGAACCCAGCCTGCCTGATGGGCTGCTCCATGCGCACACTCTGCCAGGAGGGGTGCTGGGATCTATGCCTGGCCCTGGCATGGGCTAGCTAGGAGCAGGCAGCGTTTGTTATGACACTCACCCACCACTTCAAAATCCTGCCACTCACCGCCGGCTCCAGGTCCCAGCGGCTGAAGGGAACGTGGGTGATGGCGTCCTGTGGCTGCGGCTGCATCCAGCCCAGCACCTCCTCCTGGCCTGGCAGGCGGGAGATGCCTGTGAGGGAGATGTCAAGGCCCGGGCTCCCGGCAGCCAAATGATGTGTAGTTGGCGGGACAGGAGGCATGGGAGCAGGCCGGTCTGCCGGGCTCAGGGCCTCCAGTAGGTGCTGGGCCATCGCCGGCACGGAGGGGTGGTCAAACACCAGGGTCGCTGGGAAATGGTGCTTGAGGCGGCCCGAGAGGCTGGCTGCCAGCTCCACCGCCCCCAGAGAGTCAAAAGCACCTGGCGGAAAGGCGTCCTGGTCTGCGGAGAGGATTCAGTGGACATCTGATAAATACAACCGTTCACTCCCCAGTCCAGGCCTATGTTCATAATTTCCTGCTGGGTGGGATTTTGTATGATCAGTGGCCCATGCCATGTGCAAAATGCAATCCCAATGCTTCTCTCCTGATACCCAGGCATCCTTACCCCCTAGCTCGATGCCGGCGAGATCGGCGGCCAGGGACTTTACCAGCTGCTTCATCTGGATCAGGGTGCGCGTAGTGGCCAAACGCTGGGTGTCTGTTGCCTCGCTGAGGCGCACCTGCGTCTGCTGCGCCGGCTCGAGAATTTGTGCACCTTTCTCAGCTTGCTGGGAGTCGAGGGTGCCCTCCAGCAGGCGCCATGTGCCCTGCATGTCATACAGATGCTGCATCCTCGCGATGTCTAGGTTGGCATACAGGAGTGTCGGCGCCTCGCCCGCCACCTGGGCTGCCTCCCACACCTGACAGGGATTAGGGATGTGGCTGGCACGGTTTGAGGCCTCAATAATAACCTACAAGCGCATCCCAGCATCAGGCACTGTAGGCACACAACCTCGATTGTCCAAACCCCTTCCCCAAATCCATGCCTGTGCAGGGTGCAGGCAGCCCAGGCCCAGGGCGGCCAGCTGGTCGGCGTGCGCTGCAGCCATGCCCGCCCCCTTGAATGGTCCCAGCTGGAGGGAGGTGAAGGCCCGGCCACCGGCCCGCTCGCGCACCGCGACGCCGTCCAGCCAGGCGTTGGCCGCAGCGTAGGAGGCGCCGCCGGTCTGCGACCACACGGCGGCCGTGGAGGAAAGGAGGATGACCGTCTGTGGCACGAGGCGCGAGGCAAGGAGGGCGCGGATGGGGGCCACCTTGGCGCCGGCCCCAGCCCAGAAGCTGGTGGAGTCCAGGTCACAGAGGGGGACGGGATTTGACACCCCCGCCGCGTGCACCACCAGTTGCACGCCGGGGTGTGCGTCAGCCACCCAGTTGAAGAGGCCGCACGCGGCATCGAAGTCCGACAAGTCTGCCGCGCGGGTGACAAAGCGCACCCCCTGCCCGGCCCACTCGCTCTGCGCCTCCTCGGGTAGCCGCCCACTCTTTGACACCACCACCAGCAGGCGGCAGCCTCTGGCAATGAGGCTCCTGCCCACCTCCAGCCCTAGGCCCTGTGGTAATAGGAGAGGTGCGGCGATTCTTATTATATGTGCGTATGTGTGTGCATGTGGTGCTATTCATGGGCCACGCTTCAAAGAGCAGGGAATGTTGGTAGCCTACGATTGATGGAAGCTATCTTCTGATACCCCTGACTGAAAGGTCTCACCCTGGTTCCTCCCGTGATGAGGGCACCGGAGGCGTGACCAGAAGTGTTGAATGCCAGTCTGTGCAAAGCGTCTCCCAGTCCCTGGTCCCACTTCCGCTTCTGCCTGAGGCGAAGGCCGTGCAGCGTGCCGCCCCGCGTCTGGAGCGCAAACTCCCCAGGGCCTTGCATGGCGGCCAGGAGGTGTGCCCCGGGCACGGAGCAGGGCAGCAGCACCTCCAAAGATGGGGCGTAGCTGTGCCTCTGCTCCATGAACAGCGTGCGCGCCACGCCTGGCGGGGAGAATGGGGATTTGGGAGGCGCAGTACGCGAGTGAGGGCAAGGATTATATGCACATGCGTATTCGACGCAACCGAGCATCCATCACAAGAATCCTGTAGTCTAGAACGTGCAACCCTAACGTTGCGCCCATTGCCGCAGTATCAGCTTTGCACGCACAGGGCCCCATACCTTCCAGCATCGAGGCGAGGGGCGAGGCCTCACGACCTTCATGGCGCAGCTTGATCAGGCTGAACCTGCCCCGGCGGGTTGGCAGTAGGGGCGACGCCAGTGTGCCAAGCATGCCCTCCACCTCGGCACGCTCGGAGCGGGAAGCCTCGGCCAAATCATGGCTGTCCTCATCTCCCTCCAGGTGCACCCAGGCCACCAGCTCTGGCCGTACAGCCCTCAGCAGGAGCTCCAAGTGCGGGGCGCTGGCGACGTACAGACCCGGCATGAGCAGGGCAGAGTCTTCCAGCCCAGACCAGGTCACCCACGTCGCGCCCGGGGCGTCCTGGAACGTCCCCGGGTCTGTGCTGCGAGACACCAGGAGCGCTCTAGTGGGCTGCGAGACGTCTGCAACGTTTTCCTGCTCCTCCCACACCTGCTCCCAGAGCAGGCGCTCGCGGGCGGCGCTCTGCCGCAAAGCCGCCTGCGGGCCCCGCAATACACAGTCACGCGCAACTGCGCCGCCGCCCCAGTCCACATCCAGTTCGCTAGAAGATGCCGCGGCGACAGAGCAGAAAAGGCCAGTGGGAGTTGAGGAACCAGGGGCAGGGGCCGCACCACCACCCCATGCCATAGCCCCTACGCCTGCGCTGTGCGACCTCCACAATGTGCAGGCCGTGATGAGTGTGGCCGGCCCTGCCAGCTGCAGCGCGGCCGTGGCAGGGGCGTGGGGCGGGGAGTCGGGGGCGGGGCGCGCCAGGGTCCCCATCAAGGTGCGGCTGGCAAGGCCCCATGCGCCGTTGTTCATTTTGCAGACAATGGATACTAGCCAGAGCAGCCTTGCGATGACTTCCACCGAGACCCTGATGCTGGCGCTCGGCCACGAAGTAGACCGAGACCTCTCATTTATGTGATTGACAGAGGCCACGGCCGCAAGGGACGCCTGCCCTGCAGCCCCTTGGCCCGGCAAGATGTGGACCTCGCTTCGGCCAGTGGCGAGGCAGGTGGTGCAGCTCAGCACGGCCCCTGGAGCATCCTGAAGGTGCGTCGGCATAGCCACCTCCCCGACAAAGGGCTGGAGGTGGGGTGAGGGGTGGGCCAGGCAGGCACCCGCCGCATCGAGTATCTCCAGAGCCACCGCCGGTGGATGAAGCGTGTAGCGCTCAACCATGACCGCTGGCTGGCCGGCGGAATGCAGGTGGCACTGCATCGTGACCGTGGAGGCGCTCCTGGCGCTCGCGCTCAGCAGCAGCACGCTCGGTGCGGGCAGGGGCCAGATGCGGGTGGGCTGCAGGAGCAGCGGGCGGGCGCCACCGGCGGCCCTTGTGGCCTCGGCACCTCCGCCGGGCCCGGCAACTAGGGCGTGGGCGTTCACGCCGCTCATGCCAAAGGCGCTGGTCCCCGTGGCCCACAGCCCCGGGGTCGAGCGCGCGATGCCCCTGCCCTGGCGTGGGAGGTGTGCGCCGCCGGCGGCCACCGCCGCCACCGCGGGATTCAGGTCGCGGAGGTGCAAGCCGGGCGGCATGCGGGCGCGTGTGGCGACCGCCGCAGCGCACGCCAGCCCCGCCAAGCCCGCCGCGCCCTCGGTGTGCCCCAGGGCGGACTTGGGCGCGCCGAGGCCCAGGGCTCGGCCCGCGCTCTGCGGCGGTAGGGCGCCGAGTAGGGCCCCCACCTCGATGGGGTCCCCGAGAGGGGTGCCCGTGCCGTGCGCGAGCACGCTTTCTACCTCAACCCCGGCGCCCGCCTCGCCCACAGCGTCGCGGACGAGGCGGGCCTGGGAGGGACCATGGGGCGCGGTGAGGGCCGCCGACCGCCCGTCCTGGTTCACCGCGCTGCCGAGGAGGAGGGCGAGGGGCTGCGGTGCTGAGGGGTCTGTCGCCGTCGCCGACCACCGCCTCAACGACACAGCCGCCACGCCCTCGCCGCGGCCGTACCCCTCGGCGCCGGAGTCGAAGGCCAGGCACCGGCCGGAGCGGGAGAGGGCCTGCAGGCTGCAGATGGCCACGGGGGTGGCGGGGCTGAGCATGAGGTTGGCCCCCGCCGCCACACCGCGGGCGGCCCGGCGCGCCAGCAGGTCGCAGCAGGCTAAGTGAGCGGCCACCAGGGAGGAGGAGCAGGCCGTGTCGGTGCTCATGCACGGGCCTGGCAGGGAGGTGATGTGGCATGGCATACTGAATTTCTGAGGCTTGTTGCGCATGACGCACCAAGACGATCGAGTCGGGACTGAAGCAAATGCTCATGAAAGCCAGAAAGAGACACCACGGCAGTACAGGCTGTCTGCCTTAGAGCACGATGCCCCTCCCTAAGCCCTGCACCACCATCGCTGCTCCTCCACGCATCCCAAGATACCTGTGAAGCCAAAGGTGAAGGAGATACGGCCCACCATGAAGGACATGGAGTTGCCCAGCACCGCAGAGGAGCTCAGCCCCGCCTCCGCGGCGGCCAGGACGTAGGGGTACTCCTGGTACATGCATCCCACGTAGACCCCGACCGGGCCAGTCGAGGAGGGCATGGTCACCGTTCCCACCGCGGCCGCCGTCTCCTCCAGCAGCAGGCGGTGCTGCGGGTCCATGCCCGCCGCCTCCGCCCTGCCCAGCCCGAAGAGGGCCGCGTCGAAGCCGGCCACATCGCCCAGAAAGGCGGCAAAGCGGGCGTAGCTGCGCCCCGCGGCCCCCGGGTCTGGGGAGTAGTGCGCCTCCACGTCCCAGCGAGCGAGCGGGACGAGGCTCGTGGCCTCTGTGCCGCATGCCAGCGCCAAGGCGAGATCGGACAGCCCGCCGGCGGCGAGGGGGAGGCGGCAGGCGAGGCCTGCGATGGCGACGCCGGCGCCCGGCGGGGCGGCTTGCCCGCGCTCCAAAACGCGGTTCTGAGATGGCCGCGGGGTTGTGACGGTCCTATCATGCGCCCCTGCCAGTCGCTCATGAATGAAGGCTGCCATGCTCTGCGCGCTGGGATAGTCGAACAGCAGGGTGGAGGGCAGGTCCAGCTTCCACGCGGCTGCCAGGCTGGACTGTAGCTCCACTGCCGCTAGGGAGTCGATGCCGGCCGCCATGAGGGGCTCCATGGATGATACCTGGGAGGGTGGGGGTGTCCGAGTATGTGCCGTAGTGTGGAGTGTTGCCCAAGGTGGAATGAGATGCTATGGCAAACGCAATTTGTCGCAAGGCCCTGCATGAAGCTGCAGCTGCTTGGAGATTGCAAGTAAAGGCAGGTCCTATGGAGGACAAACCACAGCAAACATGCCAGTCCTCCTCATCGCATAACACACACCTTGTTCCCTGAGATGTCATGGATGCGTGACAGCAGATCCGACTCAATCTCAGCAAGGGATGGGACTGGAACCCCATCCATAGCTGCCCGGTTCACTTCATCGAAATGGATACTATGCTCTGTTGCTCCACCAGGCAGCGTGTCTCCTGCTGTGAAAGCGTCTGCAAACACTGCCATGGTGCGGGCCGGGGTCGCAGCCAGGATGCCAAAGTCAAAGGGGTTGGCAGTGACCTGTGGGGCAGGCAGAGGAGAGGGTTGACAAAGAGATGTCCAGCAGGGGTCTCATCCGCGCAGTCCCTCGCTTTAGCAAGCACTCACAAGGGTATTGAAAATACATCGCAGTGCTGCAGCCCTTGGCCCCAGGGATCACTGAACAAAATCAGCCGTCTCACCAGGGGGTGGCTGCTATCAGCCATGAGGGCTCGAGCAAGCATGCCCAGCCCGAGCTCGGGTGGGATTGACCCCAGCCCCGCAGCCTCAGCCCTGGCGATCACGGCGGAGGAGCCATGCGCCATGCCCACCCTACCCCAGGCCCCCCACTCCATGCTCAGCCCTGGGGCAATGGGAAGGGATGAATTTTAGTCAGAGGCTGATAGCATCTGTAGTTGGTTGGAGGGGGTAGTCGATTACCCGCAGAGAATAGGGCTACCCATAGTCCAGCACCTCCTCTTATCAACCTAGCACCACACTCCCACCCCACCCATCACCTTGTAAGCCAGATCGCGCCACTTGTCCAGCCCAGGCGTCCAGCGCTGCGTTGATGCCCGAATACACAGCCTGTCCAGGCGACCCGATGAAGGCAGAGACAGAGGAGAAGAGGCAGATGGCCTGCAGCGGCGTCCCCCAGACCCCAGGCCTCGTCAGAGCACTCAGGAAACCCGTCTTGGGAGCGGCCACGGCGCGCGCCGCTGCCGCCCGCTGCCTCAGGATGATGCCGTCCTGCAGCACGCCGCCGGCATGCAGGACGGCAAGCGAGGCGGAGGAGTGGCGCAGCGCCAGCAGCGCCGATGCCTCTGAAACATCGCTGGAGGCCGCATGGAAATCCAACACAGGTGCAGGGGACTGAGCGCGTGCCCCGACGCGGCCAGACCGGCCAACCAAGCATAGCTGCACTGAGGTGGAAGCTCCCAGCCAGGCTGCCAGCAGCGATCCGATGCCTGCAGAGGCGCAGCCGGGACAAGAGCGGATCAAATATGCCGGGCGATCTTCACCACAAGCTGCAGTTCCACACTGCAGTCACCTTTTGCTCCCCTGACCTAACACAGACACAAAATCACAACACCAAACCCCCCTGCCTCACCTCCGAGTCCGCCTGTGATGAGAACGTGTGCGCCGAGCCGCTCAGCGTCGATGGCTGGCGAGGATGTGCCGCGCAGGGCATGGGCCACCAAGAGGGGAAGAGTTGCCACCCCCTCGCACACCGCGCTGCCACCGGTGCCCCCACCCAGCTCAGGCGCCGCGCCGTCGACCAGGCTCCAGCGCGTCTGCGGGGCCTCTGCAGCGGCTACTCTGGTCATGCCCCACCCGACGGCGGCCGAGGGCAGGGGGCTCGCGCCGGAGCTGAGCCCGGGGCCGGAGCCGGGGTGCGCGCCTCGGGTCGCCAGGGCCACGCTGCGAGGCTTGGCATGCGCCAGACCCTGCAGCGCTCCCAGGAGGGTGGCCACCAGGGTCCCGGCGCCTGCACGGCCACGCAGCGCCAGCCCAGCAGGTCGCACATCCGCCGGCGCGTGCCTGCCCCCGACCGCGACGGAGATCGCGGGCTGGGATGCGCCCGAAGCTGGACCCCACGCGCCGGGCTTGGAGGCCTGCCACAGCGTCACGTACAGCGCCTGCGCTGCAGCCCTGGGCCCCCCACGCGCTTCGCCGGGGGCCCTCTCCGGTGCCTTCGTGAAGGGCACCTGCCTGGCGCTGGGGCGTGCACCCCTCCCTGCCCGCACAGGCCCCGCAGAGGTGCCCAGGTCCAGGAAGTCGCCCGCAACCCCGGTCGGCGCAAGCATGCGGTGTCTGCTCAGGGCGGCGCCGGAGACCACGCTCCCCGTCACGTGCAGGTCCAGTGGGCCGCGCTTTCCTCCAGACTGGCAGCAGCCCACGGCCGCCACGCTGGCGGGCACGGCCGGCGCCCGCCCCGCCGCAGCCGCCATGTGCGCGCCCAGGTGCAGGCAGGCGTCCGCGGCGAATGGGTCCAGGCAGAATGTGGCCGCGTCGGCGCGGGCGGGGCGGGTGCCCAAGTGTGCCAAGGGAACCAGCGCTGGAGGGAGAGCGGCATGGTGTATGGTGGTCACGAGTGCGGCCCTTCCCGGCGAGGAACGCTCGGCGGGCACCCGCTCTGCAGCCATCTCAGCTGGCGTGCTCCCGTTCGCGGCAGCCCACGCCGACATGTGCTCTATCGCGCGAGAATCCACGCCCGCCACGGACAGCCGGCCGGATGGGAGGTCGACCACAGTCTCCAGCGCCGCCTCGGAGATGTCACCCGCCGGGACGCACGGCGCGCAGAAAACCACGCCTGCCAGGCCGCCGCGCGGCGCCGCAGCCGCCCCGCCCCGCCAGCCCAGCACGCACACCGCGCCGAGGCCAGCCTCCACGAGCGCCGCGCCTGGCGCCAGGGGCCGGTCCGCCACCCAGTGGTCCAGGAGGTGCGCCAGGCCTGCCTGCCCCAGCCGGCAGCGCACGCGTGCCCTGCGCGGCGAGATCGCTGCCGGTGATGCAACGTGCAGGCTCGCCATGAGCAGCGCGGGCGGCAGCGGCCACAGGCTGCGGATGGGTTCCGGGATGAGTGAGAGGATGTGCTGTGGAGAGACTGCTGTGCGACGCAAAGCACATGGCACTCCTGTTGCTGTGGCCCCGCCCAACAAAGGCACAGTCTGTCCACCATCCAACGGCCCGGGCTCCTCTGGCCCGCGCTGCGATCACGATCCAGGGACCATCCGAGGGTCCCCCCCCACCAATCCCCTCTTCTCACCTGCTACGGCGCCAGGCCTTGGGCCGCGCTGCGGTCGAATAGTCCCCTTCCTCGCCCGCGCGGCTCACCAGAGCGTGCGCGTTGGTCCCGCTCATGCCAAAGGAGCTGGCGCCCGCAAGGGAACCCGCCCCCGCCCCACCTGGCAGTGGCGCCGGGGCGCGCCCCGCGCCGCCGCGCCGCCCGGCCCGGCGCGGCCACTCGGTCAGCGCGGCGGCGACGTGGGGGTTCAGCGCGCGCAGCGTGGGCAGCGGCGGCAGCGCGCTCTGCGCCAGCGCCTGCCAGGCAGCGCAGAGGCCCATCAGCCCCGCCGCGCCCTCCGTGTGCCCGTACGTCCCCTTTGCCGCGCCCAGGGCCAGGGGAGTGGGTGGGGCAGGCTGCGTCTTGGCTGGGCTTGGCGGCAGAGACGCGGTCGATGACCTCGCCGCGCCAGGCGCGGA